CATCCTGGAGGAGAGGAAGTGCTACTGGAGCAAGCAGGGATGGACACCACAGAAAGCTTTGAGGATGTTGGTCACTCTACTGATGCTCGGGAGATGATGACAGACTATTACCTTGGTGAACTAAGTGAGGTATGGATGATTCTTTCCTTAGCATGTGATTTTAAAGTGTAAGAGAAGTGTGTGGGTGTCTGTGTCAGTATGTGTATTTGTGTTTGTATGTATAAGAGTGTGGTGATATCACTCAACCAGTGAATGATTAGATAGGGATTTTTATTGAATGCAATATTATTGTAGCTTATTTTCAAGTTTAAATTTGCTTATATCTATCTTTTTTCTTTTGAATTTCAGGAAGACAAGAAGCACACTCAAGATAAGGGACCCAAAACCTGGGGATATGATAATAACGCCAATCAGAGGTAAGATTTTTTAATGTTCTCACACACCTTTTTTGGTCATATCTGTTATATTTTAGTTTTTGCCGATTCAGTCATGTTATAGTAAGCCTAACAGGAATCTTAAAATATTTGAGAGTGCTGAAAACTAAAAATATTGTTTCATTTTTTTCAGTGCATGGAAGTCATGGCTGGTACCTGTAGGCCTAGCATGTCTTGCATCAATTGTCTACCGAATGTATGCCCTGCCGCAGTCTAGCTAATGTCAATGTTCATGCCCCTTGATCCATCTGAAGTACATTAGTCATTGTCTCCTTGTTATCCACAGTGGTTTTACTTTTAATTTTTCACAATATCTCTTTGTCTCATGTTCTTTTTCCTTCCTTTTCCATGTCTTTGTCAATATGGTCAGTAGAGTCAATCATTTGTTTAAAGATTGAAGTATTTTGTATTGTATTTGTATTGGGAAAAACACACACACACACACACACACACACACACACACACACACACACACACACACACACACACACACACACACACACACACACACACACACACACACACACACACACAGATATATGCAAGGAACATGTATGTGTATATAAATACACATAGATTTCCATATAGAATGTACAAGTACATTACAAAAACTTGGAATCAATCTGTTTATTTGGCATACTATAGAGACCTATCTTCCAATAATATAAGTGAATTTTATGTCTGTCTTCATTATATTTTAATATATTCTATTTAACTTTTTCTTTTTTCTTTTCTTTTTTTTATACCATACACGAGACATTTTGGTAGTAACTAGTATAACATGCATTATCAATAGAACTCGTACATACATGTACTTTGGCAAGGGGAATTGTGAGCCTTTATTCTTAGGTAATACTCAGTCTCATTGTAAATTCAGATGCCATAATTCATGAACCATTCCTTCTGGCAACTAACAATCAGGCCGTGACTAAATCTTATTTTTACAGTGAATTGTGAGAATTGTGATAATAAGCCTTACATATATCTGTTTGTGTTAAAGTGATTGTTCTGTCACGTGTATCAAGATCAATGTAAAAGTGTTCATACTAATACTATCTTCATTCCATCAAAACTGGGAACAATGTGATCAGAATCTGATTTTTTCTTATTTCCTTTAAATGTATTCCGATTGCAGAAGTATGTTTCGATATATATGGTGGCATTTTGATGGACATACAATGAAGTGCATGTAATTTTGCACATGAGTATTACAGACATGTCCTTCAGATGTGACAGAGTTCTGATAGTTATATTTATATGTGATGCCTCTATGTTATTTTGGAAATGTTTTGTAACAGTATAGTCACAAATAATCCAGTCCATCCTGATATCTATTATTTTCTTTTCCTTTTTATCTGTATTCCCTAATTTTAATTACTCTATGTGAAATAGACAAAATGTTACAGAGGAGTCTGGTGCTGCTGAACATAAAAGAGTACATTCAGAGGGAGAATTCTAGCAAACAGAACAGCATTAGAAAGGTGCTTAGGTAGTGTGGAGGGGATATTGCACAACATAAAAATGGTCATGCCACTTGTGAGGTGAATTTGAAGTCTTAGTTTGTTTTATATATAGTGTATATTTTATATCTTTTAAAAAAACACATAATATAACATGATAACTAGTATATATTCTTGTACATTTCCACTGCCTTGGACATTGCTACAGCTGTTTGTGCTTGGCAATATTTATTCTAGTTATGATAACTATTTAAATCTAGTATTTACCTGCAGTCTTTTATTTATATTATTTTATTTTATTTTTTATTTTTTTGCTGAGAAAATTATTACAAAATTATTTTCCTTTGAATATCACTATACATACATTCAAAGAGTCTGAAACTGTACTGTTAGATCAATGGGATAGACAGCTTAAAACTGTGAATACTACAGAGGTTAGGGTGAGAATGTGCACATTTATGTTAAATAAAGTTGTATCATTGCAAAATGACTTTTAATATAGCCTTTTGGTGTTTACATTGATTAGCTGTTGACTATAATATACATAAGCCACAACAGATATAAAATGAGCATACAAGATTTTTCTCTCCAGATTGTTACTGTATTTGGACCGACCAAGACAGTGACTGAGTGCTGCTGTTGTGACGTCAGCTAATGCTGTTGCTGTATAAGAGAATGTAAAATGTGAAATTTAACAATTCCGACCCATTATTGTAGAGAAACATCGTAATGACCATATCCTGTAGTTTTCACAATATATATTTTCATCAGGAACTTGAAATTTTACACATTAGAGAAATAAGCATCTGCTTAATTGTGTTGGGTGCTGCAAAATCCCGGAAAACGTGCTGAACACTGTAATGTGAAAGACCTGTACCTCATTGCATTCACTGAGTGTCCAAAGCTTGGTTTCACTTGATTACAAAAGTCGCAATTTCCACTCTCAGTTCCCCAGTTTAAGTTAACACTGAGGAAAGAAAGGTCCTGCCCATGGAATGCTCAAGCACACACTTCCGTGGGCCAGAATTTCGCTCAAATCCCAGGTCCTGTGCAGCGTTGCCAGGTTCCCATGTATCCCTAGGCGTGCCATCAAAATTTCCCTCTTATTTGAGCCAATAATACAGCATTTGTAACTTTAACAATGATGATGCCCGCATTTTTTAACTGCTCCTAGTATCTTTGCAGCTATAAAACTACCCCAATAACAGTCTACAGAAGCAGAGAGAGAGAGAGATAGAAAGAACACTTTTAACTAATTACGATTTTAATGTTTCGGATCTTCTGCTTTTTTTATGTCATCCTACAGAGGTGGCTTGGAGTACTCTTGAAACAATGTTGCTTTGGTATGGAGGAGTCCATATAAGATTGCAGTGTTCAGTTTGTTTCTTACTTTGTCACTAGATTTATTAGGAAGAAAATCCTTTCTACAGCTGCACTTGCGTGAGGCAAGCGCAATAGTTTCATCATCTAACACCCAAGCAGAGGAAACATTGGTGGATATTTGTTCAAATTGCTCTGCTCAGTCACACATGTGTCCATTGTGGTGGCTCCCATAATGTATTTCATTGAAGGTTCCCTGCCTACAAGCTCGAATCTGAGGTAGCAGTTCTCAGATTCAAATTAGGCCTCACTCTACGTGAGGACAGACAGGAAGCACGCCGACAAGGCTTTTCCCTTCCTATTCCAACGCTGTCCTTCTCTACGCTGCCCTCTCGTCTTCTCAAGATATCTCGACATCTGCCACAGTATCTCTTCTCTCTACTCCTTACTATCCTACTTCTAGGCCCCGTCTCCCCCAGTCAAACTTCTATTCCAATCTAAATCCAGATACTCCAATCTCTAACATTTCCCCAATTCCTACCCTTCCTCCCTCTCACCCGACCTGTCGCACCAGGCAATCTAAACTTTCCACCCTATCTTCTACCACATTCTCTCCTACACCCATCTCTTCCTCTACTTCTCAAAAGACCCTTTCCCCTTTTACAAATCCCCGTCTTACCCCATTTGCCCCCCCCCCTCTTTACCCTTTACAGTACTTTACTATACTATAACGCTCTACAATCTTTGGCATCTAAAAACTCGTTACGTCTTTTTACCCTTTTCGCCGCAATATTTTACCATAGTGCTCTAGGGCCTTTGATGCCTAGAACATTTGTTTAACTATTAACCATTGACCACTGTGGTAGATCCTTTGATAGACAGCCATGAACAGACCCTTTACAAGTATATTTATTCAATTAGTCCAATAAGCTATGAGTTAAATAAAATGGAGTTGAAATTGACTCCTTGGACTCCCCCCCCCCTCTCTCTCTCCCGCTTTCGGTTTGTCACAAAGTGCTTCATTTTCATGAAATTATTCTTCGCTGCCTTTACTCTCTACTATGGTGTTGAACTGTGAACAACACAAACTACGGCGTCACCACCACCAGTATCGTTTTTCGAAGCGTCAAAAAGTTCGTCTGATACTCTGGGGAACTCTACGGGCTTAAAAAAGCGAATTAATGATTTGGTTGAATAATATAAGAGTTGCGAAGTATTTGGAATGATTTATTAATACAGAAGAGCACAATAATTTAAAAACTTCGACACACCTTCCCAAATAACCTTTAAGCTCTGTTTGGTAACCCCTGTTGAAAAGTACCTTGGCATGGTACATGAAAGGGTGGAAAAAACAGCTGCTGTGATCGTCCATGCTCTCCCGTAAAACTAATACAAAGCAGGGAATGCCAGGGGTATATGCGCATTTATTTACATGATGGATTTGGTTCTTACTTCATATCTGATTACTAAAAAGTCAGAGCCTAGAACTAAATTTATGTGTATGGGCTAGCTGCCCTCACAGGTAATTAGGTACAAATTTGTTTTACTTTCATTTCATTTCATTTCGGTATTCGGGTGAATGCCGGATACATGATCTTTTCAACATCAAGCTGGACTCCCAAAAAGGAGGCTTCAACAACCGTAGCTCCTTTTGTAGGAAACAAAATATATTTCATAGACTCGATTTTTTAATGAAAATTACTGAGGCAACGCATATTAAAATAGAGCTCAATGGAGCAGACCAAAGTGTAGCAGAGTATACCGCAGCCATTAAAAACCGGTGTTAATAATATATACAAAAAATCTACTCGTCTCCATGAGAAATTAATTTTGAGCATGACTTGGCACTTTGAGGCGGTGGGTTAAGCACGTAAGCATGAGATGACACATATACACACTGGCAGCATGTGAATGGAGGAAAACTTGGAATATCAGGCTATATATACGCACCGTTGCCAATCTAAACAGTAAAGTTTGCTTATTTACCTACGTCTATTTGCCTAGCAGTCAATCATTTGTATGTGTATAACAACAGATAACATGTGTACAACCGACACACACACAACACACACACACACACACACACACACACACACACACACACACACACACACACACACACACACACACACACACACACACACACACACACACACACATACACTGGAAGTAAACATGTATTTACATTTAAATATACAGATAGACTGATAAGCAGTAGTTCGATAAATAGATAATATTTCGTGTCGTATCATGCTTACGTGCTTAAGTCGCCGCCACTAAATGCTACGTCATGCTTACAGAGACATAACTGTACATTTGATTATATTTATTTGTATACTGAGTGATTTCCCCTTTTGGATTTTGACATATGTATCTGTTTATGCAAAATGCAATATCTAATTTTAGACAAATAAAAGCACAACTGAGAAATATGGAATATATAGTCGGTAAATATATGTCAAGTGATTCACAAATGGATGTCTATCTATACTCAGGGACCCCGGCAAACATACATACATACATACACACACACACACACACACACACACACACACACACACACACACACACACACACACACACACACACACACACACACACACACACACACACACACACACACACACACACACACACACACACACACACACACACACACAGAATCGATTGACTCCATGACTCCCATGAGTAATGGGTGGGGGGAAATCAACAAGATTAATGTGACCCCCCCCCTCATCCTCATCACTCCTCAGTAAATGCTGCGAAAATTCCTCTCTCGATAATCTTCCATAATCCATATGCAGGTGCTCCCTTAAGTTAAAACAAAAAAAATGAAATTGATTTTCATTGCCAACTTTTAGATGAGGATGATGCACCATTAGCAAGTCATGAACTTCTTGCAGCCGTTAAATCTAGCAAATTCACGGCATTTTGGGATGACTGAGTCATCCGGCTCCTTGCAAAAATACAGGTAAAGGGAAGAAATACTCTTCTTGATCTCTTAAACTTAACCTATAATTCAGACATCTTGCCCACTGCCTGGAAACAAGCTACCATTATTCCCATTCCAAAACCAGGATAACCAGATGAATTTAGACCAATTTCTCTGGCATCCCGTATCTCTCAAACCTGTGAAAGAATTCTTCTCACTCGTCCGCTCCACCAAAATAAAGATCAAATTCATCCATCAGTCTTTGGTTTCCAAAAATGGAAAGGAACACAGCCCAGTACCTAAACTGAAGTAATGCACAGTCTTCTTCATAGATTTCAAGCGAACATTCGATAGAGCCTCTCCTACTACAATCCTGAATTAACTCTTCTAGGACTTAAGCTTCTATGGATAAAGGATTATCTTTCTTTGAGAAGAGCAAAGGTATGGTACCAAGGCACCTACAGTGCTTAAGGTGAACTAGAGTTAGGCACTCCACCCGGTGGAGTTTTGTCCCCTTCATTATTTAACATATGCATTCTCTTTGCAAGCTCAACATTGAGTTAGGAGACCTATGAAGTATCACATCCTGACATTCTCATTCAGGTATTTGATAGGGGGAACATATTCTCCAGCAAAAAGTGTGCTTCCCTTGGACTCATAAACAATTTTATCAAGACTCCAAGGTTAGGTGAACAAGTTATTGCAAAATCTGACACTTATAATTATCTTGGTGTCATGGTGATTGCCCCCCACCTCATGTCCCGCAATTCTCGCTTCACACGAGAAAGTATTTCAAACACCAGGGAATGTTGCTTGGAACGTTTAAGACCCTCACAGTACATAAGTAACAGATACATAGGTGCCTCCCTAAGAGTCCTAAGGTTGACGTACATATCCCTTGTTAGATCCATGATAGACTATGCGAACCTGGTTATTAGTATGTTGCCACAAAATGGTCTCAAACCCCTTGAAGTCTTACAATACAAGACCATGAGAATCATTGGTTGCCCAATAACTGCTGAAGTTCTTGTCATGAGGAGAGAGCTAGAACTCCCTTCATTTCTCAGTCACATCACCCAGGTCAACACCATACTCGGCATCAGACCTCTGCAACTTCAACCCACACCACAAATTTCCCTTGCTCTGTCCACTGACATTCATTCCAGAGTTCGACATGCCCGGCGCCCTCGATACTTCAGTCTGATATAGTCAAACCTAGAATGGAATGCCAAAAC